GACGGCACTCCAAATTGAGGGTGAAGTAAAACTGAAGCTTTTAATCAAACACTCTGCTTTTATGCACATTTTACACACATAGTACTGCCCACAGGGATTTGCAGAACAACCAATTAATACCAATTAATACGTACAATACACACAGATGCTCCCACACAAAATCCTCCCTTCTGCCTGTGATATAATTACTGAACACAATGGTCTAATGTAATTATGACAGGCAGGAAAATACACAGTTTTACACAATATTCATAACTCTAAAAGTATACATCACATTCACATTTTCAGAATCAGCATACTCCAAATACAAATATACGTCAAAATCATACAAATTGGTCCAGTGGGTCAAAAGTTCGTTGGTAGTCCCTTTGTGACCGTCTGCAAGCATGGCTTGAGTGTGGTAAGCCTCCAGCATACAGAAAATAGCTCTATTCACAACAACAGTAAAAACACATAAAAATACATAATTCCTATTATACTTAACAGAACTCCACATTCAAACCTATCCCCAGATAGCTTGGATCTGAGCGCTCACTATATCCGAACAGCGCTCAGATACAACAAACACAGTCAAATCGCCATGGGGTTAAACCATAGCAACAAGTTCCAACTGGTCTGGCAGTGTCCCTGGGACAACGCCCTGCTGGAGAACAATAGACAGGAAACGGGGGAGGGCCACACCTTGTCATGTATTCAAAGGATCAGAAAAAGTGTTTAAAAATCCAATAAGCCCAAATAATGTCTTTAAAGGGCAATACATCCCAGGGGCCATAGTCACATGGCAGGAGGCTGGAAATTAGTCTTCTCCAATGCCCAGTGGCGAGGTCGGTTTCGCCACAGTAGTTCAACCATGCTAACGGATTCACATCCTACTGTGGGCGGTGCTGTGGCACTTATCTAACCCTGGCCAGTACTTTAGGCTGTAGTTATGCGCCTTGGAGTGACCATTTAAACTTAACCATCTTTATTTCAGTGTGTCAAACTTGTTAAGACAACTGACAAAAAGAAAAAGTACGTTTGAAAAGGACATTAATGGCTGGAGTAAATCGATCATATGTAGATAACCATCATGTACTTTGGAGCAAAAAGAGAAACACTGCATATGGGGTGGGATCAGGTATATAGTTAAAAATTTTGAACATAAATAAAAAAACAAAAAAGCTAACGATTAATAAAGAAAACAAAAACACTAGTAACAAATAACTATAACCTAACCTATATATTGCATATTGGCTGGAGTTACCCTTCCGGGAAATAACCCTACAAGATTATTAAACAAAAAACCATCACACATGTCATAATAAACTCGGGATGGTAAATGTATTGGGGGTGTCATGGGATAATTATTATTGAAGTCCTCTGGAAAATCCCCTGAAATATAAAAAAGTGTAAAAGGGAGAGCTGAGATACACCAAAACCCTCACTGGAATGTCCAATTTGAGTTCAGTTAAGGCTCACTGGCCTAAATTTTGAGAAATGTCTACTTCTAGTTCCTTACGTATGATATACATCATATTTGTTATCACTTCCATTTTCTAAATTATCAAAGGTGATTGGCCCTTGTTACGATAAGAAGCACCTGTACAAAATATGTTTTATACTTGCAGTCTGGTTTGTGAAGCATTTTTTGCCCCTTGTAATACTTGGAGTGCTATAACCCTCTGCTCCTTCCAGGCAAGGTATGTCTAGAAATCTAGTGTGTATCATCTAGTGTATATAACATCTAATACACACCAGAAACTTTATAAGGTATTATTTTTATTATTATTGCCATTTATATAGCACCAACAGATTCCATACTGCTTTACAATATTATGAGAGGGGGGATTTAACTATAAATAGGACAATTAAAAGAAAACAGGAACGATAGGTTGAAGAGGATCCTGCTCAGACGAGCTTACAGTGAATAGAGTGTAGTTTGAAAGCCAACTGAAAGTCACATTAAAAAACCCAGCATATAATCACAGATACATGGCAATATTAACTTTAATGCTGCAGCAGAGAGCAGTTTGGTGGCACTGAAAGTAAAAGTAGAAATAGGTAAAACATGCTGGGGTCTGTGAGGTCTCCGCATGCAATTATAGATAGCCAATTGGCTTTCTCTGTTAAAAAATGTAAATATATTTTATTTTTGTAAATGTAATTTTATTTACATTTTGTTTTTTAAGGTAGAGTTGTCAGAGATACGCGTAGATACTTTTAACTGTAAGAATGCATTGAGTTTGTGCTCGCAGGCACTGTTCCAAGTAACGACTTAGATAGTTGGTATGTGCAGGTACCTCAATAATGCATGTCAAGATGTGAGTGGATGCGCAGATCCCATCTTGCTAATATAAATGGAAAGCCAACAAACACAATAACTGATTCAGAAAGCTGCAGGTGGTGCCTAGATCGGTCTGTAGAGCACCATTGAGTGTCTGACACAGCGTGGGCACGGAGGTGGTGGGGAGGGGTTGAGAGGGAGTGAGGGAAGGGGGGAAGGAGCAGGGTCTAGGGGAGTGGGTGGGGGAAATCAGTGCAACAGGGAGCGGAAATCTGCAGACTCAACCGTGAGGATCCATTGCGTCCGGATTGCCAAATATGTCTGAGTTTTTCCTTCCGCTAGCATGGTGAGCTGAGCTCTTCCATAATGCGTAGCTTTTCCATGCGCTGGGACCAGGTGGCCATCAGGGGTGGCTTCTCCTATCTCCAGTAGAAGGGTTTCAGCCCTTTTGCTACATTGACAATTTTTATAGTGGGTGATTTTTTTTTGTAGGTCGATGTGCAAAGTTTGGTATGGTGTAAAAGTAATGTGGCAGGTTGGAAGGGTGGGGAGTCGTCTGAGAATTTCTGTAGTATTTTGTGGATAGTGGCAAAGTATGGTCTGATTAGGTGGCAGTCCCACCATATATGCAGTAGCGAGCCCGTGTCCTGCTTACATCTCCAGCAGCGGTCTGTGACTAGCGTGTAGTAGTAGGGTGTTCTGAAAGTTATATGCCGTTTCTTGTGTCCCACTGGATAGTGCACAATGCAGTGTCAGGGTGCGGATGTTGGACCACTATGTGGGTGTGATTTCAAGGTTGGTCTCCCATTTCCCCATGTTGGTGCTGGTAGTCTCCTGCGTCTCAAAAGGAATTGGTAGAGAAGTGAGAGTCCCCTATCCATGGGCTCATGGTCCTTACACAGTGCCTCGAAGCCTGTGGGTTCCCTTGAAACCAAGTGTTTCTGCATTATTGAGGTGATAGATTGTGCTAGTTGTCTGTATCTAAAGTGTTGCATGAAATTCAGTGTGGTGGGATTTGGGAAGTCCGTCAGGGACTTGATGATACCGTCTTGTGTTGCATGTCTTAGTTGGGGGAGGTTGTGTCCTAGTAGTGTTTGAAATACTTGGACCTCCAGTCCTGGAGGGAATGCTGTGTTGTGTACTATTGGTTACAGTGGGGAGGGGAAGAAGGTGAGTTCCAATTTGTCCGTCAGAAGGTGCCAGACATGTGTCGTGGCTTTGATTTGTGGGTGCAGGGCTGCTATTCTCACGCAGTGTAGTGGGTCCAGCCAAGGAAGAACTTCTACTGGTTGTCCCACTAGCGCTGTTTCTACAGTCTTCCAGAGTTTGGAAGCTCCCTGTTTGGCCCATTCTGTTATTCTGTGGATGTGTGTCTCCAGGTAGTATCGCCTAAAGTCCGGTAGGGCTAGTCCACCCTCCGCCTTTGGACGTGTAAGAGTGCCATGGCTAATCCTGGCTTTGGTTTTGCATCAAATAAATTTAAGTACCAATGTGCGTAGGGAAGTGAAGAAAGATTCGAGGATGGTGACGGGTAGTGTTTGGAAAAGTTAGAGTATTCGCGGTAGGAGTATCATCTTTACTGTCCCTATCCTACCGAACCAGGAGATGCTCGGTCTGTACCAGTCTTTTAGGTCTCTTTGTACCCTGGGTAGTATGGGGTGGAAGCTTGCTTGGTAGAGTTGTGTGAGGTCTCTAGTTAACCAGTGCCGACTCTTTCCATGTGAAGGGGTATTTGTTTCTTAGCCCTTTCTCTGTCCTTCGTGGTATGGAGATGTTCAGGATGGTTGATTTTGCGTAATTAATTTTGAGATTTGAGATGTGTCCGAATGTTTGAAATTCTGTCATGATTGTTGGGAGGGACACCTCAGGTTTTGTCACGAAGAACAATAGATCATCGGCGTATACGGCTACAAGTGGTTGTCCTTACCCACTTGGAGCCCCTGTATCTGGGAATTGTGTCGTACTGCGTTCAGGAAGGGTTCGAGGGCAATGATGAAGAGCAGAGGCGAAAGGAGGCATCCCTGCTGTGTGCCGTTTAGGTTCGGGAAGGGTTCCGTGAATGCCCCAATCACGCATATTCTGGCTGTAGGGGTCGTGTATAGGGCCTTTATCCAGCCTTGTATTTACAGGCCCATCCTCAGAGACCTCAGGACCACGAACAGATAGTCCCAATTGACTCTGTTGAAGGCCTTCCCCTCATTGAAGGAGTGTGGTTAAAAGTTTGGTGAACAATTTGAGGTCACAATTTAGTAGAGAGATTGTCCTGTAATTGGCACACTGCCCTCTTTGGGAATCAGGGTGATGTTGGCTGCCAGTGCATCTGTGGGTATCTCATGGTGGTCTCTAATGGAATTATAGGCTTTGAGGTGATTGGGGAGAAGCAAGTCTGCAAATTGTTTATAGTAGCATATGGGGAGTCCAGTTTTGTCATCTTAAGAGCCCTGTTAGTTCCTCTATGGTGAGGGGTTCTTCTAGTTCCTATGCTGCCTCTCTAGTGAGGCGCTTGTGTACGTGGCAGTCCAGGGATGTCGTCAGGGGGGCGTCTTGCGGTTTGCTCCCCTGTTCCGGTGTGCGATGTGGGAGGGATTTTAGCTGTGCATAGTAGTCGTGTAGTGTTTTGGCTATGTCTGGTGGTAGGTATGTCAGTTTACTGTCAGCCAGCCGAATCTTAGGGATATAAGTGGTCACTCTCTGTTTGGCAATCATGCGGGCCAGTAGTGCCCCACATTTGTTCGCGTTAGTGTGGAAGAATGTTTTTGTTTGAAAGTATTTCCTTTAATAGGAAGCGTTTATTATGGTGGATAGCTCTTGTCTGGTGGTTGTCAGTTTGATCCAGCCAGTTGTATGTTGTGTTTGTTTGTGGCTCTCTTCTAAGTGGATCTCCCGTATTAGGGTTGTGAAGCATGCTGCCCTCTCCTTTTTTAATTGTCCCCCTCCTCACTATGAAGTGACTCTTGATGACAGGTTTATGGGCTTCCCACAGCACCATGGGTGCAATATCTGTTGTCTCATTTTCCTGTAAGTAGTGGGTGAGGTGTTGGTGAAAGTCTGCTGTCACCACCAGGTCCAACAGAAGCGCCTCATTGAGGCGCCACTGTCCAAAAGCTGGTCTGTAGAGGGGGGATGAACGTGTCATAAATATTGGGGCGTGGTCTGGCCACATTGCTGTCCAGATGTTTTTTTCAGGTCTATGAGAAAGTAGTAAGAAGAAGTAGTCTAGCATTGAGTACATCTGGTTGGGTATGGAGAAGAATGTATAGTCCCAGTTGTCTGGGTATTTTGCTCTCCAGCAATCTACCAATCGTTGTTCCTGTAGGCAGGTACTGATGGAGTTAATAATGTGGTGGGGTGGTGAGGAAGTGCCTGATGATGTGTCTATCGAGGGGGTCAAGTGCAACATTTAGGACTCCTCCCAGGATGAGGCAGCCCTCGGTGAAGCCCCTGATGGTCACCATGGCTGATTTGAGGAACTGACTTTGGTTCCTATTTGGCATGTAGAGGTTCACAAATGTGTATGTTCTGTCTCCCACTCTACCCTTCACGCAGATGTATCTTCCCAAGTCATCCCTGAGCACCTCAAAGGGTGTTAACTGTAGGGCCCTATGTATCAGTATGGCCACCCCTTTCGATTTTCCCTCCGGATTATTGCTAAGGAAACAGGGTGTGAAGCAGTGGTCTGTCAGTCTGGGAATCTGGTCTGCCTTGAAATGTGTTTCTTGTATAAAGACTATGTGGGCCCTTTGGCTATGAAAATGCCTTAGGTTGTGAGACCGCTTTTCTGGTTTATTTAAACCTTTTGCACTTATGGACAGTAAGTTGATCTCTGCTTGTCTATATGCCTGTGCCATCGTGTGGGGAGGGGAGAGGCAGGGGCGTATCTGGGGAGTATAAAGTAGAGTGGATAGAGAAGTAAAAGGAACAGTTACTGGGAGTAGGGTAAGTCGTAGCTTTCTATTACATATCAAATTTTGATTAAACTCTTTGGAGATAAATGATTTCCAGATTTTAGAATTAGATTTTCAATAATACTTTCAAATATAAAACTGCATAAATCAGTACAATAGGGATGTGCATGGGGAAAATATTCGGTTCGGCATTCCGAAATTCGGGACTTCGGATGTTCTCTTGCAGCCGCTTAATGGATAACTCCCTAATTCCCATGGTATTAGGGAGCTATCTACCAAAAGGCTGAAAGACCAAAATTGGTCTTTCAGTCAAATTTACTAATACTAAGTAAAGATTACTTAGTATTAGTAAATTCTGCCCCTACTCGCTATACTGCGAGTAGGGGCATGTCTAGTAAAGTGTCCCCCCTCCCGAGCCCCCACCCGTGCCCTGAGCAGCGAGTGGGGGCCCTAAATAGGACAATAGGTTCTCACCCTTACTCTGATTTAGGGCCCCCATCCGCCGCTCAGGGGTGGGCGCAAGGGGGGGGACACAATAGGTGCCCCCATTGTCATGCAGGGCCCCCATCCGCCGCTCATGGGTGGAGGTCTGGGGGGGCAATAGGTCCCTCCTTCAGTTTAAAAGTCCCCACTCGTGCGGCACACTTTTTTTTTTTCTTCTTCTAACACAGTAAAGGAGTTTAAGCATGCGTGGGATAGGCATAAGTCTATCCTAACTATAAGATAAGGCTAGGGACTAATGAAAGTATTTAGAAAATTGGGCAGACTAGATGGGCCGAATGGTTCTTATCAGCCGTCACATTCTATGTTTCTATGTTTCTATGTTTCTAACAAGGAGCTGATCAGTGCTTGGCAGATCAGAGGTAAGTGTTCTCAAACTATTTGACTACTTACCTTGGGAGAGCACCAGGGCACTGTTACACTTATGGTGCTTGAAGTGTTCCGTAAAAGGGGTTATTAAATCTGACCCACACTTGGCGCAGTGTATTGTGAACTCTCAAGATCTTTAATTTCAGCAAAACATGCTTATAAATTGAAAACATGATCTACATGGGTGAAATATTTAGGATGGGTAAAACATATTGGCTTCTTATGTTATGTTTTATAAACATTGTCAGTTATGTTACAAATAATTCAGGTAAAGCGAAACCTGAAGAACCTAAGTATGTTTAAAAAGCCTGAAAATATTGATCCAAGTGCTCTGTTGAAGAGAAACAAAACTTCGAATAATACATTTCCAGCAGGTTTGGTTTTTTTACAGGAAGCATCTAATCTGAGCATAAAGTGAAGTGCAACTAAACATTACTTACCTCAACCAGCAGGGAAACATATGTGGGATTTCCAGTTAATATTCTATGGGTGTTCTCATTTCTTCCATTTGCATATAATCATTGTTTCGGTCCAACTACCTTGACATGTATATTGTAAAGCGCTATATAAATACCAATAATAATAATAATAATATTAAGAAAACTTTGGTAATGGGGCTGAAATAGTGAATGTATGCTGTTGCCCAGAAGTAAATCTTGTTATCTTGTTTATTTTGATAATGAGTGTGCTCTTCAAACTTGAGGATCTCCGCCAATCCAATGCTATCCCATAGGAAAGCATTGGGAGGCTATTGTGCATACATTGAAAAACGCTGCGCTGTGCCAATCAGCATCTCCTCATAGAGATGCATTGAATCAATACACCTCAATGGGGAGCGTTCAGCGCCTCCATGCAGAGCGTGGAGATGCTCAGTGTAGGTGCTGCACACTATGCACCAGTGAACTAGGAAGCTCCTCTAGTGGCCATCTAGTGACTGCTACAGGAGGTGTTCCTAGGCAGCAATATAAACATTGCCTTTTCTTTGAAAAGGCAGCATTTACAGTGTTCAGCCTGCAGGTATAGGCTCCTTATGCATCATTTCACCTCAGCCCTTCCTTGTCTCATTCCTCCCCCATTTTCTCCATGTGTCTCTTTTCCCTCCTCAGCCCCTCCATGTATCTCTATTCCCCTTCCCCAGCACCTCCATGTATCTGTTTCCACCTCTCCCCAGCACCTCAATGTGTCTCTATCCCACCCTCTCCAGGACCATCATGTGTCTCTATCCCCCACCCAGCACCTTCATAGGTCTTTGGCAGGTCCTATCCTAGCAACCTAATATCCGCTTTAATGAGATTAATCCACTTACTTGGGAAATAAATACATATATTTGGTAGTCTAGGCATGTTTATGCGCCCCTCCCTGTCAAGGGTGCCTTATTCCCGAGCCCTCTTTAACCTTGCAAAGCAGAGAATCCCAAGTAGAAGTTTGGTATTCAAACCAATTGTTTCACTTTAATGGTGATGTGTAAGTATTTCTAATTTAATGGTGGTGCAGAAGGCCCCTGGTTCTTTCCAATAATTGTTTCTCAGGTGCTCAGATGTGGTTGATGAAGTTCCTGAATTAGATGCAGTGCTTACACAAAAATGAGGAAAAGAGAAAATAGCAAGGCTAAGGTATGTTTCTGTGAATTACTAATGGTCACAGGGAAAGTACATGTGAAGTAAGCCATAACTGCTCTGTATCTTTGGTCTGTATGATGTGTTCCGAGTCTTACAGGCTCTAAAACATGATGTAGTGGTTTGTAATGTGTGATTCACCTTTGACATTGTTAAAAAAAAAGTTATTAAGAAAATGCAATAACATCTCCCTTGTTTTCCGAGGCTGGTCAAGGTAGGGAGAATTTAGAGGATGTTTTCCATAGAGACACGAGAAATTGTAACTATACAGGGCATTCCGAATCTATCCAGACTCCTTCATTTGTTTATGTTACTGCCATATGGTGCAATTGTTGAAATATGTTCCCCACACCAACTCATTTTTGAAAACTTAAGTTTATTAAAAAGAAAAAAAACCTGAAATCACATTATAGCAACATAGAATGTGACAGCAGATAAGAACCATTTGGCCCATCTAGTCTGCAGGGCCAGACTGGGGATACAAAGCAGCCCTGGAAAAAAATCTATACCAGCCCCATAAGTCATTGCACCATATTTTGTCACATGTAATATGTAAAGCTATGTCTTGCCACCCCAGATGATTGAGTAATATAATATATATATATATATATATATCTCATGAATATATAGTTATTTTGTTAATATAAAATATTGGTCCTTTCAGAGTAAAATGTGTAAGTATACAGTAAGCATACTCACATGCAAACACAGACAATCTCACTGACACACACACGCTCATTGAAACAGTCTCATAGACAAACAAACAATCTAACTGATGTATATAAGCTGACATAAAAACACAAGCTCACAGATGCACATACATAGGCTCACTGACAGACAATCTCACTGACACACACAGACAAGCTTATTGGTATTACACACAAATGTAGTACAGACAAAATGACACCACAAGCTTTCTACAGACAAGATCACTGTCACACACACACTCACTACAGAAAAGCTCTCTGATACACACACGCTTCCTACAGACAAGCTCAATGAGACACAAGATCCCTACAGACAAGCTCACTGTCACACAAATGCTCACTACAGACAAGTTCATGGACACACACATGCTCCATACAGAAACGCTCACTGACACACATGCTGCCTACAGAAAAGTTTGTAATAAACATGGTCTAGATATTCTGTGTATAAAGATATTCCGCTTCAGGTGGTCCGCACATGCACGACCAATTCCACTGAATATAATCACTAGGGAGACACTCCAGTGGTGTCTCGGGGCTTAACCCCTGTGTTAAAAGTAAAAACCTGTTCTTTGAAAACCTATTAAAACCTGATTATGGATATCTTAATACTGAGACACACAATTTCACATGATCTATATTTGAAATAACTATCATGACATTAGAAATTTGATATCATCATCTATAAGTTTAACCTAATTCGCTAGAAGACACCATGAGTAAATATAAAAGAATTCCAATTAATTACAAATGCCGTTAAAATAAGTTAGCCAATTATTATAGGTGATTAAAATGGATAACATTATTTTTTAAATTACATATGCTTCGATTTATGACTATGCTACACTTATTTAAAAGGGAAATGAAACTCTATAAATAATACATTATAACATTGGATTTAGTAAATGATCTTTTCACTGACATACATATTAATATTAAAATTGAAACTTTATCCTATAGTCAGGTTTCCTGCAAAATCCAAACACTTACAATAGATCTGGAATACATGTGATCTATAAATGGTGACAACAAAGAAATAACTTCCTTCAATTCAGCATTAAGAAT